AAATCTGAGTGCAATGTATTTCAGCAAATATTGGGCAGATTCTGCCTACACAACATGGTGGCCACGCCCACTTGGTGGCCACGCCCACTTGGCCACGCCCCTGGCACCCGGCGATGTATAAGTGGTTGGGGGTCACCACAACATGGGGAACTGTATTATGGGGTCACGGCATTAGAAAGGTTGAGAACCACTGTTCTAATATATACATTTATCTTCTCTTCCCAGCTTTGTAGATGTTATATATATTTTGCATGAGCAATTTAAATGAAAGCACTATTGCAGTCATTGATTGAAATTCAATATAATAAATAAAAAAGGAACAAAATAAAATATTTAGCAATTTTCATATCTAAGCAAGATTGCTTCTGCAGATAGTCATTCTGTTCATGCTAGTGATCTTCTCGTGGCATATTCGTTTTGCTAAATACAGAGCAAAATTTTATTGCGAAATAGGCAACTTTAGGATTTATGACATAACGCAAAATTGGTTCTAAAAAGTTCTTCAGAACAAAGAGGATATGCAAGATTGCTTGTGTTTTAACTGTTTTTATTTTATCTCTACATCTGTGAGTGTTTAAAACCTCTTGTATGAACTATTAGATGAATTGACTGCAGCTGAATAAAATGAAAATAAATAAATAAGATCCCACATAATTCCTGGGACAGATCTGAAATAAGTAGTATAAATCTCCATTAACCGTAACATAAGATTTGAACAATTTGGTTTTTTAAAACAAAATGTTCAAGTAAAAATTGAGAATGATGCACAGGAAGTTTCTAATAATGTATACTAGTCTCTTGTAGAGCAGTCTTTGTTTCAGTACTGTAAGCCAAAGTCATGTGCTTTATAGAAATCAAGCTTCTCTGAAACACTCAACATTCTGATAAATTTATTTTTAGAAACCAATTAGAGATAGTCAGATGTTTTCACTTTCAACTCCATAATTTTCTTAGCAGAAAATCAGCTATTTGACATTTTGAACTATGCATAAAAATTAAAATTGAGAATCACATGGCTGTCCATTGATACAGCATTCTATCATCTTGGGTTGAATTCAGTGTCATACCCATATCATTAGATAGCCATGTGATCCTTAATTTTAACATTTATGCAACAAAGTTTTCTTTCAATTGGTTGTTAAATTAATATAGCTATTATGTTTCTATCCGACCTGTCATGGATGTAAGAAAGCATATACATTAGCTATGTAAGCAAACAAAAATAAGTTGTTGGAAAGTACGTAGCTTAATGCTAGGATAATGGTAATGCATTTGCTTGTTTCAATAGGAGCGAAGACCTTTCCTTGCATCAGAATGCAATGAATTGCCCAAAGCTGAGAAATGGAGACGACAGGTATTTTTCTTTTAAGATCATGTATCAAATTTAAATCTGTAAAATTAAGTTTGTTTGTATATTTTTACTGGTAGTCCTTGAGTTATGACGAATTGTTCAGGGACCATTCAAAGTTACGCCGGTGCTGAATGAAGAGACTTACAATTGGTCCTCAAAAGTTCTGGCTGTTGTAGCGTCCCTGTGGTTACACGAACAAAATTAAAGCACTTGTCAACGAGCTTGCACTTGTGATTGGTTGCAGCATCCCATGCTTATGTGATCACCATTTGTGACTTTCTCGTCGGTTTCCCACAAGCAAAGTCAATGGGGAAGCTGGCAGGGAAGTTTGCAAGTCACTCAGATAAGTCTTCCCTACCCCCAGCCTTCACTCATATCACCACATCTTCCTTTCTGCCTCTTTGCTTGTATTTACCCTGTGCCCTCTTTCCCCAGTCTTCCTTGCTTGCAGGTTCCTATGCACGCATCTCGCATCCTCTTTCTCCAGCCTTTCTGCACTCACGCGGACCCCACACACTCTTTCTTTGGTTTTCCTGTGCCATCTTGCCTCAGACCAGTGGTTCTCAACCTTTTTAATGCCATGACCCCCAACCGATCGTAAGTCGAGGACTAAACCGGTCGTAAGTCGAGGACTAAACCGGTCATAAGTCGAGGACTACCCAACCGGTCGTAAGTCGAGGACTTTCCCTGCCTGGGAGCGCCGCGCATGCGTGGTTCCGCCCCCTGCGCCGGCCGAGGCGTAGCTGGCAAGCGGCAGAGATGGAGCAGGCCGACCACCAGCTGGCCCGGCTCAAGGGAAGTAAGGCACCCGCCGGAAAAGGGGAAAAAAATGGCGGACAGCCTTGCTTGATGACCCCCGTGAAATGGTCGATCGACCCCAAATGGGGTCGCGACCCATAGGTTGAGAACCGCTGCCTCAGACTCTTTAAGCTTGCATGTACCCTGCATCTCTTTCCTCCCTGCTCTCGCATGCAACCTGCGCTTCCTTTTCCCAGCCTCCTTGCCCTCACTTGCACATATGTCCCCTGTGCTCTTTTTCTCCAGCCTTCCTGAGTTTACACTGCACTGTAGTACTCCCTTGTGTTCAGCCTGTGCTGAGCCTCCTAAGGCCTTCCCCATCTCCCTGTGGCACCCTTGCCTTCTTTACTTGAAACTCCTTCCACTTCTCACTGAACGGCCCACTTGCCTGAGTTAGGACAACAACCAGAACTGCCTAAATTGCTGTCACTAAGCAATGTGGTCACGTGGTGTCATGCTTTAGGACCACATTGCTTTATGACAGCAATTATGGTTCCAGTTACGGTTGTAGCTCAAGGACTACCTCTACTTCCTTTTCTTTAGAGGCTTAAAGAAATATTGTTATGTCACCTACTTTGAGGTACAAAACCGCCATATTGCAGTGCACTATTGGGAAGTGAAAAAAAATGTAAGTAAGTATTTAAAATATCATTAGATCCAAGGGTGTCTGCTCTGTGTACACAAATTTGTTAAGAGAACAGATACTTCAGACATGACATAAACACAAGTGATATAAGAAAGCCATATTATTTTATACATAGGGAAGATGAACAGATAGATGAATTAAATAACTTAATTTATGGGAGAGAGGTCTTGTGGTCAAAATACAGTAAAATAACAAATATATTAGTTATAGTAGCAGCAAAAAATATTCAAGTCTGACAGATGGCATAAGATGTATGGGCAACTGCCTGATGAATTAGGTAAAATACAGATATTTTGTTTAATAAAGAAAACCAGAATAATAATTAAAAGACAGTGGCTTTGATCCAGAATTGTTTTGTATTCAAAATAAATAAAATAGGTGGATTCTATTAACATGAACTGTGTTGCATTGGACATATATTCAGTATTAACATATAAATGTCACCTAGCTGTTCAGGTACACTAAAAGCAGAAATGACTAAAACTAAGATTTAATGTGACATTAAAGGTATTGTTTATATTTATTCTTTCAGCCAATTCTTTTTCAATATTCAAATGGAACAATAAAATTAAAATATAAACATTTAACTTTTGTAGGTATTGTTAGCGCTTTAAACTAAGCAGTATAAATGGGTTGAGGAAATATTTTTAATTAATGTTTAATATTTAAAATCATCCCATTTGGGTGTTCTACATGTGGTCACTAAAATAATTGGCCTCCCTTCTGTCAGTCAAACATTACAGACTTTAACAAAGTAGAATAATGGTACAGATGTTAACCAGGACAGGAGGAAAGCTATGTATATGATATTTGATTATATTGCATCTGATGAAATGAGCAGCAGCTCGCAAATAAAATTTTAATAAAATTTGCTAATTGGAAAAGATGCTACCAAGCTCAGATATTAACCAAGAATTTTACAGTTCTAAACATGAGATGTCACAGTGTAAAACAGTACTTCGCTACTCTTTCGAAGAAAAGAACTAACCATAGCTTATTGTCTCTTTTCAAAAGATTATTGGTGAAATTTCCAAGAAAGTGGCCCAAATTCAAAATGGTAAGTTCCTAATGATGGGAGTAATCTTAGTATCCTTCTGCAACTGTAGAATCTAATTTTCAGTAATATTTAAATCTGCACCTTTTCCTAGTTGTTAATTAAGAAATATGGTACCAATTTTATGAGGGCAAATTGATGCCGGTATTCAAAAACATCTGTAAAATGCGCTCTTTTACCCTTTTCTCCCTCTACCCTCCTTGGCCTGATACTGTTCAGCAAACCTATATAAGTATTTAAATTGTAATTCATCAGAGGATTTGCCTTTTTTATTTAAAACATACTAAAATTTTTAATAATTTGAGGGCCATTATAATTATCCAGAAGCAAAGAGAAGTTATTGAAAGGAGTAAAGCAATATGACAGCTCTTTGATAATTCCCACAGATTTTCAGGATAGAAAACTGTATTGTTTCAGTTTGAAAAGACCACAGAATAAACTGTATTTTCTTCTTTAAAAATAGCTGGTTTAGGTGAATTCAGAATTCGTGATTTGAATGATGAAATTAACAAACTCCTAAGAGAGAAGGGACACTGGGAGGTCCGTATAAAGGAGCTGGGAGGACCTGATTATGCTGTGAGTATGCAGTAATCCCTGTGATAAGGTGCAAAAAGTATAAATGTATTATTCCAAAGTTGCTAATAAAATATTTGATAAAAGAACTACTCACACAAATTGCAAGTTCAAATATTTTAGTCTCTCTGTTGAAATAATTTCTTTGACTACTTCCCTGCACAATTTGGGCAGATCCTGGTCACATCAGTTGGTTAAAATTATCTGAAGTCATGTGAAATTTTGTCTACAGAGATAGATAGGGAATTTTTTTTAATTTACGGCTCATCTCCCTTTTAAATAAAACATTTTATAGAGAATTGGCCCTAAAATGCTTGACCATGAAGGAAAAGAAGTTCCAGGAAACAGAGGTTATAAATACTTTGGAGCAGCTAAAGACCTACCTGGCGTTCGAGAGCTTTTTGAAAAAGAACGTAAGTATCTGCATGTTGATTGGACTATTACTGTAATGCTAATTATAAAAAATCATAAAAATAAATGTTTGTGTGCTTAAAGTTCTTTTAAGAACTTTATTTCATTTATTTTCCTGTTTTTTGATCTTGTGAAGCCAGAGTTGTTTTAGAAATGAATGAAATTTAATCAATTAATCAGTCAATCTTGTCTTTGCATTCCTTGGCCCACCATATAATGTTAAGCGTGATTACAATAGTTTATCTGCTCCGGTACAGAGAATCAATATGGGCAGACCCTGTAAATAAGAAAGTCAGATTTACAGACAACCCATACTTAACAACGGGCTGCCTATTACTAAAAATGTTCTTACTCAAGCTGATGAACCACTGAAACTACACAGTTTTCTTATTTGTTTATTTGGGGGGGGGGGTTTGCATTTCCGAATCGCCCATCTCCCTCATAGAGGAACTATACAATAAAACGTCAAAATATAAAAAATAGTATATAAAAATGATTAAGCTAGAATTAAAATTTTAGAAGGAGGCAAGAATAATTAAGACTTGTTAAAAGTTAATTAAAAAGGTGAAGGGAGGATTCTCAGGGCCCCAAACAGCCCCATGGCTATATGTTCCTTTGAGCTACTCCTGTGAGGTCACAGAGCCATGTTTTAACTCTTTTTCGAAAGTCCAGGAGAGCAGAGGCCTGTCTCACCTCCAGCGGGAGGAAATATTCCACAGGGCAGGGGCAATGGCAGAGAAAGCTCTCTTCCTAGACCCCGCCAATTGAAGTGTGTTAACTGATGGGGTCTGCAACATATCTTCCCTGCCTGACCTGCTGGTGGGCTAATGTGATGGGACAAATGCACTTCCATAGATAGCCTGGCCTCGTGCCACGTAGGGCTTTATAAGACAGAACCAAAGCCTTGAATTGGATCCAGAAGCAAACTGGCACCCAGTGCAGTTTGTGGAACAGAAGTGTTACATGTGCCTTTCTCTGAGCATCCAATATAGCTTGTGCAGCTGCATTCTGCACCAGCTGAAGATTATAGATACTTTTCAAGGATAGCCCCTTGAATGACTGAGTGGAGAGCCTCCCTATCTAGGAAAGGATGCATCTGGCACACAACACAGAGTTTGTGGGTATTAAAAATGCACAGTTTCAGGGGTTCATAAAAATATTGCACGGCTTCAGCTCCTCAAAAAAGGACAATGCTGTCCGCCATTTTTAGTAATATGTAACTTGTTCATAGGTACAAATTCCAACTTATGTACAAATTTGAGTTAAAGACAGAATGTAGGAACGGAACGTATTCTTAACCCAAGGAATGCCTGTAATGTTATCTTTTATTTTACTTCTTATCTCGTCCACAATATAAATATATAAATTCCATAATAAACAATTGGTGCCGTTCTGGACTATTTCAAAATGATTATAACCAAATTTGTCAAATGTGTATGGAGATTCTCAGTCATTCAGGTCATGGTTGTCCCAAAGGTGCTTTTCAAAAGGCAACTGGAATTTCTTGCTTTTTTCCTTGAAAATGTTTCACTTCTCATCCAGAAGCGTCTTCAGTTCAGTTTTCCAGTTCTTCAATTTAACAAATATAAGACACTGTGCATTTAAAAATTGGAAGGTTTCTATGAAATAGCATGGGTGGCGCAACATCTTAATTCTTTTTTAGATGACTTCAGGTTATGATAAAAATGGTAGAACATGGGTATCTATGTAACAGTAGCAAACACAGCAGCTGCACTATTCAAATCATCCAAAAAGAAGAGAGTTTGATTGTATCTTGAGGAGAGACTCAAGTAAAAATAAGTACTCATAAGAAGTACTCTGTCCAAGAAGTCCTGTAGCCTGATTAAGTTGATTACAAGCACTAGTAAACTTTTAATTGAACCTGTGACCTAAAATCTGCTCTTTTATGCTTCTATTTTATTTTTTGAAAACGATTTAATTTGTTCCATTAGCCCTTCCTCCTCCACGGAAAACTCGAGCTGAACTCATGAAAGCTATTGATGCAGAATACTATGGCTACAGAGATGAGGATGATGGTGTCCTCGAACCACTGGAACAGGAACATGAAAAAAAAGGTATAGGAAATAACTGTTGGCTTTTTGACAGTAGCATTTATTCTGGGTTTTGGTAGCCAGAAATGACTTGTATTAAATATTCCAGTTCTTGAATATGAGCTTGCAGCTGTATTCTGTGAGATTCAGTCTTCATCTTACTCCATGGTACT